GGGGGAATGGATCCTGAGCTGGTAGAGGCATGTGGTATATAATTGTGCAGGGTCTTAAACACCATGGGAGCAACTGCAGACATGGAGCGTATATTATCTCTCCATGGACTAGGCTGCACTTCTCAACCTTTTTAATGTCATGGCACACAGAGAACATGATGTTATCTGTTGGGCACACTGTAGTAAACTGCAAGAGGATTAGGCTATATGGGCTTCATGGAAAAAATGACATTTTCTCTATATTATAGAATTATATAAGGAAAATGTAATAGAAATTTAAACAATTATGTTAAACATATCTTTAGAAGGAATACACCTTTTTTGAAGTTGCTTGAATAAGTATAGCTTTTTGATTTGATTATATACTTGAAATTACTACAAATATTTATGATCCCTTCAATTTCTTTTTTTAAGATTTTAAAAACTTGATTTCAGAGAAGAAATGAGAGACAGATAGAAACATCAATGGTGAGACAGAATCATTCATGGACTGCTTCTTGCATGCCCCACCTTCCACCCCTCCCCAGGGATCAAGACCACAACCCAGGCATGTGCCCTGACTGTGAATTGAACCTTGACCTCCTGGTTCATAGGTCAATGCTTAACCACTGAGCAACACTGGCAAAGCTTCAATTTCATTATACTAGTCACCATTGGTGAGCTAGTTCACTTGCATAAGTAGGTGATACAAATTTTTAAATCTTTTTCAATCCCATTCATTTAAATTGTACTTAAAGAACCTCACAGCTTTTTCTCTTTTTTTTTTTTCATTCACAAATGTAATTTTGAAGTGTCTTGTAAAAATCGGAATGGATTTAAAATCCAATTAAATTATTACTTTGGAGTAAAAATAAGGAGTTTTATTACTTTGTATGTGCATGCAATGTTAAGATAATCACTATGTAACTAGTTTGCACATATCTACTGCATATCGATAAAAAAAATCATTCGATTTAATTGAGACAGAGTTTGGGTGGGCTGCTTTGAGGTCTACCAGGAACCCCTCCCTGGCCTCCAATCTGCCCCAGGTAGGGCCATATATGGGCTCCTTTTGCACCTGCATTTTGAACTCTTCCTGTTGCTCTATGGGATCCTTTCCCTGAAGGGCAGTATTCAGTGCAGTTGGCTGAAGACTAAATCTAGGTAGTTGATCAAGCCCAGTGTGTAGTTGCTGTCACCAAACAGAGTTTGACAGAAGGTCCTCTTCCCATTTGCTGCTCATCTTGCAAAGCCATCTGAAGGACCCACCTTGTGGGAAAACTGGCATAAGACATATTTATGGATGAAGCAGGAAGTTCTACTGGTGTCTGTACTGGTACATGGTACCTTCAACTAAGTGGGGCCTGTTTCCAAATCTCTTACAAGTGTAGGAAAGGACAGATTAGGGACATTTTATGGCAAATATCTCACTTGGGAAAGAAAGACTTACCTAGTTCCTCCCTAACAGGACAGAGCCAGCTCTGCCCCAGTGGTAGGAGGAGACACTGTGGAAACAATGCAGAGGCCTAAGAAGCTGCTGAGAAAACTGATAGAGAAAGGTGGGGAGGATCTTAGCAATGAGTTCCAGGCTATTTGTACTGAGCTCTTCACAGAGCTACATCTTACCAAAATCTCTATAGAAACTCACTGCAAAATTAAAATGCCCAATTCAATGTCTCTAATAGTTCCTTTGTGCTTCTTCCACACAACACATGATGTATTTATGGTGAAACCCAAAGGAAATAATTTTTTTAAAAAAGGAAAGCAGGAACAAGACTTCTTGCTCTATAAAGTCTCAAGGACTTGAAGGATGATGTGGCAGTTAGGGGTTCTCTCAGGCAACTCTCAAGTAGCAGCACCCAGCCCTAATTAGGGGTCTTACTATCTAAAAGCAGGGATTTAGAGTACTTTATCAGCTGTCAGTCATACTTTGCTGGATCAGTTTGATGTTCTTGGTAAATTCCTTA